TAGGACAAAATAACGCCACACAAAAGTATGGGCTGATCTCCAATGGGATTGAAAGCAACTTTGTAGGAAAGGACTTAGGGGTACCAGAGGACAAGAAGGAGAACAGAAGTCAGCCATGCGTTCTTACAGCAAAGAACACCAATGGCATTGTGGGTTGTATTAGCAAGAGTGTATTCAGCGGGTTGATGGAAGTGATTGCTCTCCTGTATTTGGCATGTGCGAGATGCCATCTGGGTGTGAGAGTGCATCTGGAGCACCATGTTTAGTTTTGGGCTTTCCAGCGCAAGAACAATATGGACATATTGGGGCAAGTCCAGCTCTTGAGTTGCAGCCAAGGCTGCCATCAGCATTCACAACCCAAACAAGTTCATCCCTGTTAGCCAGACTCAAGTGACTCAGTTGAACACAACCAAGTGAAATGTAGCAGTCCGTGATACACACATCAGGCAAGATGATCTGATGGCCTTATGGTTTGTGAATACAAAAGAATAAGAAGATACAACAGAGAACAGCATATGATCTTTCTTAGCCAGAATGAGAGAATTGGAATAGAAAACTATTTACCCTTAATGTAATTCTATCTCCTTGTTTAGTTGATGTATACAAATTGCCTTCTGCAGAGAGACAGTTCCTCAGAAATAGGGATGAGGCATTTTGCCATGTGCCTACATTGTGGTTGAACAGCACTTGGTGGATCAGTGCTTCGGTTTTTGGCAGGTCTGTATCTAGCACATAAATTTTTTAAGTTTGTTTAATTGGGTCATGAACCTGTCCCTTTAGTGCACCAATGCAACAACTTAATGCCTGAACCAAATACTGTGGAAAAAATGAGAGATACTGATCATCTTCCAGGTCATTACTCAGAAGCCCCCGTGCTCCTTCAGTGTTTATTTGCACTGGTGTGGCAGCAAGCAAAACTGAGCGATAGTGAGCTGGAGGAGAGCGCTGCAGCGCCAGAAGCTCTGACTTCAGTGGGATACAGTGCCCTCTCTATTTGTCATATTAACAGCGATGAAAGAATAGCTTGTGCTTAGGGACACTGCCTAGTTCATTTACACGCATTAAAGCTTTAAAGAAAGATCTGTATCCTAGGATCTGATGAAAACATTGAGGACATTATACTAAAATATACTTTATTAAATATCAAAATATTTTCCCTGTCATCAATAAACATATTAACAGGATTTACAGATACATGTGCATTTTTATAAATTAATGTACATATGTTCATATTTCTCAGCTCTATTTTTTCTACAATGTTTGCATCACGCTGTAACATGTCCAAGTTTTTACAATGTAAAATTAGAGAAAGCTCCCAAAATTTTATTATAAAAGTTAAACACACAGTTGTAGCAACTGCTTTTCCATGTCTATGGATCTTTAGCATCTTTTTCTAATTGAAAAGGTGTGAATTTATGTGAGTGTCGGGTATATCACTCCTCTGATGGATGTCACCAACATCTTCCCGCTTTGATCTTCAGTCAAAAATTTTCTATCCAATCATCTAAAGGTTTAAAGCGAGTAAGGATGCAGTACTCCACTTAGGCACAGGCACGTGACAAACCCTTTTCCAGCTCTGCCACTACTTCTACCATCCTTTTCATTTGCATCCCTCAACCATAAGCCTGTCAGCACAGGGACCTGCCTTACTTGCTCTAGCAAAAATAAAGTTCTAGATGATTATTTTCACGCAGGCTGCACGCTTTGCCTCCAACTCTTCTGATCTGACCATGACAGCCGTACAGCAAACTCTGCTGTCTGCTACATATTTCATCTTCCCATGATATTATAGCTATAGTTTCTTGACACACTAAACTGAATTCAAGGCTTCAAGTGCTGGAAGCCTCGCAGAGAGATGATGTACATCACTGCTCCAGCCTAAACGCCTGAAGTAGTTCAATTTTTTTCCACCGTAAAATTTTGGTGGGTTAATTTTGAGTTGGCAGGTCTGTTGCATTCTGCCTGTACTGTAATTCTGCTACCTCTCTCCTGCTGCTACCTGTAATTTTACCCCACCTCTTACATTGCCCACTGAAGCTGCTCTTCTCGACTTCTTGAAAGTTTCTGTGGGCAGTGGATTCTGCTCTCTCTTTAGATGCCAATGCTGTCATTGTCACTACAGCTGGAAAAAATGCCTGACCTGCCACGAGGTAACAGCCAGAGCCAGACCCAGAGTTTATGAAAGCCCTGTATTCACTTGTCTGCAGTATCTGTGCTAGAGCCTGGCTTAAGTCAGGTAACAACCTGGCTTTTCTGGATCTCACCAAAACCCCTGATGAGCAGGATTCCCTAACTGGGAACTTCTTTGGCAATGCAACATACTGCAACACTTCAGTGCAGGAACCTCAGCGTGGGTACTACTATGAAGAGAGCCTACAAGAAAAACCACAAATGGCCTAGGAACACAGCCAGATTCCAGGGGCTCTGCAAGAGCAGACTGCAGGCCTTAGGCTGCTTCTGAAAGCTCCAGCCAGCTGACTCCACTGCCTCTCTCCTGCCCTCTTCCCTTCTTGACCAATGTCTTCCTCTGCCCAAATGAAGAATGATGAGCTTAGCATGAACCTGTATGAATGCTGCCCCATCTGGAATTTCAGCATTTGAGTGATGACTCTGCACAAAGTGAGTCTCACAGAAGGTGCAAAAAGGTGACTATTGTCATTAAGGTCCACTGGGAGATGTCAAGTGTGTGTTACCTGAAGACTGCATATAATCAAAGGATGGGTATCATAAAGGTCCCTAGCATCTCTATAAACTCTTTAGTGGAACAAAAACTGTTCCAGCCGCAACATTTCTGGGTGAGCAGCCCGGTGACAGAAGGCTAGAAACAAATTAAAGAATAAAAGTCAGGCCCAGTACAGCTGTCTTTTGAGGAAGAACTAGAAGCAAGAGGCAGGTCAAGCAGAGACATGCTCAAAAATCCCAATACGCAACAGAGCTACCAAGAACAAGATTCATGTAAGGCAACTGGAAGCCAATACATGTGGTGTAAAATACCAGGCAATATACTCAACCCCGATCCTGCAACACAGATACTGCATAACCTAGAAGAAGCTGTATCAAGTCTGCAACCACTCCTCACAATGGATCAAATCTGATCTGTCAGATGATTTGGCTGTACACAAATCCATCACAACTACTAGTGAAACCTCATCGCTATTCTCATGATCAACAAATACTTCTCGACACTGTCAATAGGTCATATGCAATAGAAGTATTGTACATCTTACAAGTCTTCCTCTACACTTGAAATTAGATTAATGGTGGTAACTACACTGCTACTCACTGTTTGAACAAATACATCTCAACTTTTTGCTTTCTAGCACCTGCTTCTGGCTGTCATGAATTTTGCAAAAGGCCTGAACTAGGAATCTGCAGAACTAGAGTTCATGCTAACAATAATGAACAGGACCATATTCAACAATGACATAGAATAGATATCCTTCTGATTTGACTTTTACATACATACCAGCAATAAATTTCACCTGTACATCATTCCAGCGAAAGAAACAGTTATGGCCAAACCAAACGCCTCTAAATCCTCAGTGGCTCTCACGAAAAAGTAAAAAAACAAGAAAGAAATATCAGAAAACTAAAGAAATTCATCTGGTTCCTGGTTTTGTCATTTTTCTTTTCTGAGGAGACGCTCCTGTGTTATGTGAAATACAGAATTCATCTCAGTGATTTATGAACAGCACAGGACTTGAGCGAAAAAGGCAAGTCTACTTCTCAAATGCTTCTTTGACTTCCCAAGGAGGCTGTCAGCCTAAACAGGAGAAAGATTCTCATCTGAGAAAATACATCTAGAATTTAAAGACTCAGGTTTTTTACTTCTTGGCTGGCGATGTTGGTTTTGGGGTTTTTTTAAGAATATGCACTTGAGGAGCAAATCTGATTTGGAGTGATTATTAAAATGCAGACAAGAAAATACAAACATAAGTAACAGCTTGAGTTTAGACAGTAGGCAAACAAGTGATTTGAAGATCTCTAAAGATACATAGTCTTGCCATTGTTTCCAAAATAGTGAGGCAAATAGCCATGAAAAAAACAGAAGAAATTTTAATAATTTACTACAGCAACTAGCTCATTAGCAATGATGAAAACGTCTTTGGGAAGGATTTACTTGATCATGCAAAAACACCCACAGAAGCCTTCAAATTAAGTTCCAAAAAAAAATTTTCAGTATTTAAGGTTACCTCATAAGAGTACCACTGTTCTGCCCTTGAAGTTTTTACGTAAGATTTTGTGTGAACTGCAAAACATGCCTCTAAAACTGTTGTTTCTTATAGGAAGCATGAAATCTATGGAATGTATTTGAAGACCTGAAACAGAATTAAGAGCTACAGTCTTACTTAGTCCTGGATCATTTTCCATTATATGGATTCCAGTTTAATTCTTTTGCATGATCACATGGCTGACGTTTTTTCGCCTCATGAAATCCTGTTTCTGCTTGATGCGGTTTTAACTTAAAAGTTATTTTTACACTTCATAATGTAACATAATCTAAGAATTATATTATGTTCTCAGTACCTTGTCTCTTCATGTATGAAAATGACATCCTCCTACCATACTTCTTAGCCTTTTGTCTTCTTTCTATCACAAGAGAGCCAACATCTTGCCCATCATCACCCGCCCCTTGATAAAGCATTTCTTCCACACTTAACTCCCCAGCAGTGTGGCCTAGGAACTTAAAAATAACCATTCTGCTACTTACTGGGTGAAAAAAATGCCAGCGTCCAGCCTTATGCATCCTGACTACACAATTTCACCAAAAAGGAACGAAGTAACACAGGATTTAGCAAAACTAAGTTAAATGTGGAATTACAAAAATTAGTGCATTTTCTAAAGCAATGAATGATCTATTTAAACTCCAAAGAGAAAATAAACCAAAAAGGATGCAACATCTATTATGGATTCAGTGAAAATCGGCTGTTAGGAAAATAATGAGTAGCCCTTGTCAGAACTTTGTGGATCATCCTTTCTCACAGAAGGCGATAGACTGCTCAGTAATTCCTTGAATATGTGACTTTGCCAGGTGGACTCCAGGGACAAGGCGCTTCATGCCCATGGACAGCCTGCAACTTCTTTCGCTTCTTCTCAAGCTGCTCTCTCCTCTCTTTCTTTTCCTGAGAATAAAAAGATGTGTCAAAAAAACCCCAAACAAACAAAAAAACCCAAACACAAAACCAACCTCACCAACAGAAAATTTACAATTACTGTTACACGTTTCTTATGTAAAATGAAAAGTTAACATGCAATGGAGATTTGACTTTTGGAGCTTACCGCATCCCTTTTAGGAATTCAGTGACACACTGCACACTGCAGCAAAAGAGGGTGAACATTTGATGTCATTTACGATTAAGGTGGCTGTCTCAAGGATGGGCTGGGTTTGTGCACTATCTAAACAAAAAGCCCAACAGAAGGCCTAGTGGATTAGGTACTGTATTTGTCTTGTATATAATTAGTCTCATCTTAATTACTTTTTTTCTTTAAGAGGATACCTAAAATCACAATACTAAATATGTTGTTCTCATTACATGAGAACATTGATGCATCTTTGTAACTTTCTGTACTTACTAAATCACACTTTGTGACATACTAGAACAAACTGGGAATTAAACAATTTAATTATAAACTAATATCGATCTAACTTACAAACACTGCAAGGTTCTGATGATATTTTCTATTGTTTCCAACAGCAATGGGCAGTTAGGATGGTGAAGGATAAGCAAGATACTTGCAATATTCTTTTTGTGCCTGATTAACTAATGATTTTCAACACACCTGTCACTCAAAAAATAATTTTCAATTGTTTATAATTATTTTAGAATTTTTATATTGTTCTGTTCTATACAAAATAAGCATTCTTTGCAAAGATGCCTGCCATTTCACCATTGTGAGGACCAGCATGTAAGGGTGCATCTGCATTAGCAATTTTGTACACTGGAGAGTTCTTTATAGGTGCAAATTTTCCTTGCATCATACTTGCAGATTTGTGGTGTGTGCTTGAGCACACCACTTACTGACTTGAAGTAGTTTCTATCTTGGTGGAACCAAGGTTGATATTATGGACCAGAGCATCACTTACAGTGCCCAGTTGATAGGTGGATAAAAGGTCCTTGAGCAGCTGGGTTTCTGGCCCCTGAACAGTGTATTCATTCCTAGGGCCAACAACTGGCCTACACATCATTGGTAGTAAAGATGCAACGTGGATATGTAGGCATAAACCCATCATCAGCTGTCCCAAATCCAACCTTCGTCTTTTCCTCTTTTGCAGCCTATCAGCCAGTATTTTGAAGCACCATAAAAGTTTTGTATTTTCACATGTATGCACTGCATTGCAGTGGAAGTACAGCTCCTTGAAGATAGCGGTAAGATAACTGGCACTGTCAGATAACGCATGATCCTATCCCTCTGAGGGACACTGTATATCCTCAAAATCCCAAGATCCTAGCAGTGTCTGCCAGTGAGAAATAGCGAGGTAACTGTGGCTAAGAGAGTAGACTGGTAAGTGGGGGTAAAAGTGTTATTGTAAAAAAGGGAGCTTGAGTGGAAGTTTTCTCTCATTCTACACATATGCAGCAGTCAAACTGGACTAATGCTAGCTATGCATATGATTGTACAAAAATTTTAAAAAACATAACATGCACCAAAACCCTATCAATATTATATTAATCTGTGCCCTTTAGGTCTTTGCTAACATACGTCTGAAGATCCAGTTCAGTTAGGAATGTCTGGCCTGGCTAAATAAACACACAATTATTTCATGTTGTTACTAGTAAAGCTGATTAAAAGCAAGGCAAGGCTTGCATGGAGAAGTTATGCCCTTTAATAAAACAAGTGATACAAAAGTTCATCACAGTTAGTATAATAAAAGATATCATCTCTCCGTACAAATTGTATTTTTCTGGATTATAGGGAGTAATTGAGATAAAGTGGGCTTGTAGCACTGTAAGATTCTGACTCTTCTCTGTCCTCCTACACTTTTAACTTCTTTCTCCTTCCATAGAGTTCTTCCTCGGATGAACACAGCTAGTGGTTTTGGGTTTTTAGAACAAGACCAAGATATTTTTTTCAGACATTCTTAAAGGGAACTGACTAGTACGCTACGGGGAAAGGAATATGCATTATCAGTGATATTTTTCAAAAGAGAGGACAAGATATGTGCAAGCAGTACAGATGAGTTTAGGAAGAATGTGCTCTATAATGGAACACATGAATGATTCATGTTCCTGTTTTGGAGAATTTGCACATACCCAGTCAATTTAGTTTTACAAAAATTTAATCATATTTTACAAATCTTTGACATTCAAAGACACATCAGGACAGGTAATTGAAAACTCATTAAAAATAGTACTTATTATAGCAGTACTGGCAATTATTTGAGAAATCATGTATTACATGTTACAAAGAAATGTGCATATTCTATGTCTATAAAGCACTCCTTACTGAATACATGTTGCACAACAGACTCATGTATGAAAACCCCAAACTAAACACACCCAGGAAGGGAATGGACATTGCCTTGGATTTTTTAATCATGTCTCAGTTTTGAATGTTTTGGTTTGAAGATCCAGTTTTCATGAATGAATCCCAGTGCCAAGGAAAGAGTCTCGAGTTAATTTAACTGTTTTTTAAAAGATTAAATTTGACATGAAGACTTACTGGCTTCTTCCCCTTCAATGCACACAAAGCTTTTTATGTTCTAGTCCTAACCACGGTTCACATTCTCACATGACAACTCTGATAAAAGTCTTCCCTAAAACAATAAGCAAGGTGTTATTGGCACTAACAGGAGAAGAGTAACAGAAATAGTGAAAGATAAAAACAATAACCGTAGCTTGTCATACACTAGATCAACTCGAACTCGAACGTATGGCTTGATTTCTCTGTGGAAGTTTCCTACTCGATAGCCTAGTAAGATGAATACATTTTTCACTTAGAAAATTCTGGGAAGATCACATTCTTTAGCAGTGTGACTGCCACATAATAATTGAATTTTAGATAGTACAGAAGCCTTACAACATTTAAGGGGAATAACAATATCAGTCTTATTTCTAATATCTTGCAATGCCAGGAGATTAAAATTCCAATATAGAAAGTATTTTCAGATAGATCTTATTAAACCACATGAAATGAATAACCCACGTCAGCCATTTCTAACCGAGAAAAGCAACAAATCCATGAGACTCATCTAGTACATCGTCACCTGACGTGTTTAAAGAGGTTTAGAATGCCAAAAATAGGCGTTGAGCATGCTCAACCTCAAGGTAAAATTTCAAACTTCTTCTAGGGCATTTAACCTTACTATATTGATCTTTGAGAATTATTTGAGAGCAGCCTTACTTCTCATCAGCTCATACTAGGTTAACGTTCACCACATAAAATGGAGAGCATAACACATCCAGGATACTCACTTTTCTCTACAGAGAACAGATATCAAGATTAATATCTCAAAAATAATGGAAACTTAACTGATCTGTCGTTATAAAATTCCTATGGTTCTTCTCCACATTCTACTCCTCAGAATAGGTGTGTGGCAATGACAAGTGTCAGACACTGGTACTATGTATTAAGTAAAAAATGATTACCAAGAAAAACACCTAGATTAGCTTGAAGAGTACTTGGTGAATTGCAAGAGGCAAATACTATGAAAGAAACAAAAAAATCAGAAGCTTAAATTTCCTTAGCAATTCTAAAGTATCTCAGCTCAAGATTATCCTTTTTATGTTAATATTTTAATGTGTTAATAGTCTTTTTCAGGGCATTTATTTTCATGCTTAAAAAATAGTCTTCTCTATGCACTTAAGTTATCAAACATTCACACAATGACCTCTAAAAGTATACGTTACAGAATTTCCATTAACATAAAAGCAGAGTGTTTCTTGTATTTTAGAAGAACTACAAGGAGATTTTTATGTCTGTTTTACCCATGCATTATGGTCAACACCTGTTTCAGCTGAGGATGAATGTACACATTTATTTCTGCTGAATGTTAATGAAAACATATTAGAATACTTCCCACTATATTACTCATATTTTATTTCCCTTCAAACAAAAATTCTCTTACTTGAAATAATACACTTAAAAGACTTCCACAATTCTGCCCTCTCAGATTTGATGCCTGTTTATGTACCTGTGGGCAGATATCATCTTAATTCCCTTCATAATATATTGACAACTTTACAGGCGTTTCTCTCCTGCACTTCACTGAAGGTGTGCATTTTCTCTATTACTACACAAAGTGAGATAATGTTCTGGCTAAACACGATGGCAGAGCCATTGCCTGATACACTTTTTCAAATAAAGGTGTGTTAGCTGCAAAAAACCAGCACAATTTCAGAAAGTAAAAATGTGAAGACTGGCCATGAAGCACATCAGTCAACACTTGCACATAGACACTGAAAATGAGATAATTTTATAAGTACCTCTGCCAACCAATTCAGTACCTATCACATCCCCCAACAGCTGCTTATTTTTCAAAATGCTCCTCTCATGCAGGTACATGTACTTCCATGGAATACACCCACGAGTGCTGAAGAAACGGGCAGACAATATTGCTGAGCCACTTTCCATCATCTATGAAAGGTCTTGGAGAACAGGAGAGGTGCCTGAGGACTGGAAGATAGCCAATGTCATTCCAGTCTTCAAAAAGGGCAAGAAGGAGGACCCAGGGAACTACAGGCCAGTTAGTCTCACCTCCGCCCCTGGAAAGGTGATGGAACAACTCATTCTGGGTGTCCTCTCCAAGCAAGTAGATGAAAAAAAGATCATCAGGAGTACCCAGCAAGGATTCACCAAGGGGAAATCATGCCTGACCAATCTGGTAGCCTTCTATGATGGCATGACCGGCTGCGTAGACGAGGGGAGAGTGGTGGATGTTGTCTACCTTGACTTCAGCAAGGCTTTTGATACTGTCTCTCATAACATCCTCATAGGGAAGCTCAAGAAGTGTGGGTTGGATGAGTGGACAGTGAGGTGGATTGAGAACTGGCTGAACGACAGGGCTCAGAGGGTTCTGATC